TGTGAGAGGACAAAGACTTGGCAGGGCTGGTGGCTGCCTGGTAGCAGCCCATGCCAGCTGCTGAGCTGAGCTCCTGTTTTTTTTTTCTGCATCCTGCATGGAGTGATTGCCCTCAGGATGTGCTGCAGCTGCCTCTTAGTCCCAGCCCAGTGTCTCATCCCCAGGCCTCTCCGTATGGCAGGTCCAAGGCATCACTGGAAGGCACACAAGGCTGTTATTGCTAGAAGCGTTCCTCTCCAGTAACCAGGATTTCTGAAAGTGTTATTTTAAGTGTTAGGGAACCTTTCTAATCTCTCTCTCCACTTTCTCTGATCTCCTACTTACTCCTCTAACTTCTTGGTGCCTCTCTATTCAGTGCTTTGCCTGTTGTCCTGCAGCAACCGGATGTTCACAGAAGGGACCTGTAAGTTGCTCAACCTGGTGGTGACTGACTTGGTGGATGAGGATCTTGTACTGAACCGCAGAAAGCAGGCAGCTTCAGCACCGCTTTTTGGGATGGTTGCTCTGGTCAGCAAGCCAGGACAGACCTTGGCCCCCCTGATAGGCACCTGGCTGCTCTCTGTGTACACAGGTAAGTGCCCTTGAGAAAGCATTGCGGTAGGAGAGGGCAGACTTGTGAGCTCAATGCCCTCATGTAAGTGCCCAATGTAAGTCTTAAGACAGCAATGCACGGCAGTTTTACTCTGGCCTTTGCCAGTCCGTGGCTGAGGACCAGGTCTAATATGTTCCTGCTCAGTGACTTTCTAGCAGGTGGATCTGACATTTCTGGGTTCATGCAGTGGTAGAGGGGTGCAATCTATAGTGCATGGGAGAAAATGAGATTAATCAAAGGAGTGGAGGGTGAAGTAGGCATCCCTTTCCGGTGAGACTGGGTGCTGGGGCTAAATCAGTTACTGCCTTTGGAGGAAGGTAAGTCACTTGTCCCTGCTGCTCTTGAAGACCCTGGGTGACAAAGGTTGGGGGGGGGTGCAGACCTGCACACTGAACCACATACCCATTCCCTCAGGCCTGTCCTGGGAGCAAAGCTTGCTGATGAGTTCTCAGCAAGCACATAGGTTAGCCACCTCTGTCCATGCCAGCAGCATCACTCCTGTTGATCTGTGCTCACTAAGGGCAGCCCTCCCTACTCTCTTACAGTTTCTCTACCCTTCAACTGTTCTGTACCTGTCTGCAGTGACAAAGACTTTGAGAATAATGGTCGTTAAGGAGAGCAGCTTTGGACCCTAAGAGGGAGACCAGTTACAGGCCAGGAATGTCCTACCTCAGCACAACAGACTGATCAGGAAGGCAGTTTTGGACCATAGGTGTATTTTCATGGAGGGATTAGGCAGCAAGTTCTGTACAGGCAAGAGAAATACGCACTGTTACCTCATTAAAAATGCAAATGGGGGAAGATGAGGCCAGGAGGCTTGAGGTTTGTATATGAATGACTTTATTTAAGTATGCTGGGTACCACCAGGCAACATGGTTTGGACAGTGCGCGAGGGAACAGTCAGGCAGATCAAATGAACGCTAGATTGGAGACGGCACCTTTCTGTCCGGTCACTGCAGTTTACAGAATGGAGCACTGCTGCTTCTGCAAGGCCAGCAGAGGAGCTGGGGAGCGGGAAGAAGAGATCACTGGCACTGCCTGGGGCATGTGATAGGTGAATAGAGAGGATTTTTTTCTCTCTGCATGCTGCAGCTAATCAGCAAGACTGCCACGATCTTCTGTCGGAACAAGGCTGAGCATTGACAGCTCTTCTCTATCTGACTTGTTCTTACTTAAATACAGTCTGTTCTGACAGGAGTAGGAGAGCGAGCAGTGTGGCCTCAGCTGGGAACAGACCACCAAATCTGCCTACCTCCCTCCAACTTCTCCCAGCCCAGCAGTGAGCCCTGAGAATGTGCTTCCAGCTGGAGCAGCACGCTACCTGCTTACATTCATGTCTGATGGGGCAGTGCACAGGCTTCTGCCAGGCCTCTGGAGCAGGGCTGCTGCAGCCTTCCAGCTCTTTCCCTGTCTTGGCTCTGGAGAGCGACCCCAGGGTGATGTGTGGAAATGAAGAGAAAGGAGGGGAACACAGAGGAACTGCCAACAAGCAACTCCAGGCCCGCTGCTAATGCCAGGTACTGCAGAAAATCAGTGGTGAAGCAAATGAGCACCAAGTAATGCATAAGAACACTCACGACTAACAGTGCCGCAACCCAACACAAGCTGCTCTGGAGGCCTTCCAATCTCTGTAGAAACAGCAGCTACAGAAGAGCAGCCAGTAGATGAGCAGAAAGGCATAAGCAGCTCAGTGGGACGGCAGAACACAGCCCCTGCAACAGCTTGCTGCTCACAACCCAGCTGCTCACATCACTGTACACATACTGATACAAGTTATTGTCCTCTCATGTAGTGTATTCATAGAGAACAGCAAAACTTCCTAAAAAAAAGTTATTGAGTGCTGTAGCAGGGCTGACTAGTTATTATGCTAAGCATGTGTGCTGTTGTCACGGTTTTATGATTTTTGGGCATCAGTATTCCACACCATAACATCATGTAATGCACTGGGGGTGGGGTTTGACATCTGCCGAATGTTCGTCCGTCGGAGAAGAACTACATTTCCCCAGGAGGCTTTGCGGTCAGCAAGGGGATATAACTCCAAGCAAGGTCACCTGAGCCGTCTTCTTCGCCTGCTCTTCGCTGTCTGCGCTTCGCCGCCTGCACTTCGCTGTCTGTACTTCAGTCACTCAACTGGACTGCACTTCTCACCCCAGCATTGTGGTGAGGTCTATACAATTCAAACAGACTCTCTCTCTCTCTCATTGTATTTTACTAATACTATATTTAGTAAAATCATTTGTTCCACCTCAGATCAGTGCTGTTGTTTTCAAGTATTTTGGGGTCCCCTGCTTCCCCTTTCCCAGAGGCGCGGATCCGCAGATCCCTCCGCCCTGCTGGTCACGGAACTGGGCCGGACCAGCTCATAAACCGTTGACAGCTGTAAACAGTGTTAACATAAAACAATGGAGAGCTGGATAGCAGGTATTCAAAGAAGACCCAAAGAACAAGTCCCAGGTGCTATGGTCAGTACTTGAGATATCCTCAGAGATTTCAATAAATAAAACAATTCTTACATTACAATGCACCTTTCCAACTATTATTTTGCCCCCAAATGGATGAAGTACACAAGAGTTATGCCTGGCTGAAAATACATGATTCCGTTGCCCTGATGTGGCAGAGGAGGAGGGAAGCAGCCCCAACTCCTGCAGAGAAAGAACATGAAAGCTGTAAGTCTTGGCAGGTTGAGGGAGGACACTCAAGTGCCTTCACTCCCACTCTGGGGCACTTGCTTCCAGAGGAGAAAAGGTATTTAAAAGAAGGAACAAGAGAATAACCGTCTAGCATAATGAAAGCCGATTAGAGATTGCTTTGTTCTACTCCATGCAATACAAACTAAGTGCTATCACCATCTTCTCCAGCTGTGGCACAGAACCCCACATCAGTCTGATAAGTTACACACACACCCCACATCAGTCTGATAAGTTACACACACACACACACACACACACACACACAAAATAGTGGGGGCAAATGGGCTTAACTGCTCAGAACGTGCTTTATTTCAATTTAAGAAAAAACAAAAGACGTTAAAAACAACTTCAAAAGTCTGCTGATGGTGGAGACGCTGCTGAGGAAGAAAGTAGCTATGGGGCTTCAGCTATGCATTTCCAGACAATCCAGGCATTGCAGTCAGGCTGACTAAAGCCTGCGTGAGCAGTTTGCAGTGGTTAGCTCCTCTCTGACTTGCTAGGCAGATTCTAAGCTGTTCCCTTCTTTTTCCTTGCTTGTTTTACAGTGGCAAACGTGATCGTAACACAGAAACTAAGGAACTGGAATGAAAAAGGAAGGGGCCATTCTGAAGAAAAGCAGACTGGTATTTCATCCTTTCCATTAAAAAAATAACAACAAAAATAAAAAAAATAAGTAGTTAGTACTAATCCAACCCTCCTGCTGCTGTTGTCTTTGCTCAGTGATGTCGGGGCATGCTGGCGCGCACACACACATACAGGCAGCTCTCAGACCCTCGGACTCAGAAACGCGAGTTTAGAACTGAAGTGAGTCTTCAGAGGAGACTGAGGATAGGTCCCAGGGCTAGAAGGTTTTTCGGTGGATGGCACAAGCTCCATCTTCTTCATATTCCTTTTTTGAAACCCATATTTTCTTAAAAGTATCCAGCGAGGCCAGAATAGAGCCACTGGGGAGAGACAGACATAGACAGATTGATATTGATAAGATTACAGGAGACAACGGATAGATTAAAGGAGAACATTGGGGACACTGTCACTACATCTCTGCAGGGA